CAGAAAAAAAAAATCAGGATTTTTGTGATTTGTTTGGGGTTTTTAGTGGTTTTGTTTGGGTTTGTTTTTGTTGGTTTTTTTTTCCTTTTCTTCCCCATGTGCCTCCAGTACAGGACAGCCACTCGTGCACCGTGCACAGGATCCATGCCATGGCCTCCAGCAGAAGGGCTTAGGCAACACCCAGAGCTCAATTAGGGGCAAACACAGAGCCCAGGGCATTGGGGTGGGATTACCATGCAGGGGGTGAGGGCCCCGGTGGGGTCAGGAGTGGAGGATTTGGGCTTTGCCACTGAGCACCACTGCCAGCCCTGTGAACCCCATAATAAGCGATGTTAAAACAACTTTCAGAGGGGACCGAAGTGCATATTAATAACTAATAAATGATTAATGCGCATGTGTTAACAAGCTGCCACTGCTATTAATCTGTTATTAATTATTAAGGGAGTGTTTGTAAGTATGCCCTGAAGCTGACAGGTGCAAAGCCTTGCAGCCACCCTCCTGCTTGCATGGAGCTGGGGTTGGGGGGGGTTACAGGGATTCACGCACAGCAAGGTGTGCACACACACACACACGTTTTCTCCATCCTCAGTGCCCCCACAGATCCCTTCCTTTTGCTGCACCATCTCAGGCTCAGCTTGCAGTCCCAGACACTGGAAATAGCTGCATGTCGTGGCAGTGTAATTTTTTAGGATTTTGTTTCGGCCAGACCCCTCTAACAAAGCTGGAATCCAAGCCGTGGGGATCTGTGTGCAGCTTGTGGGGGGAAACTGAGGCACGGATGGGCACTGCGGTGGGGCAAAGGGGCTGAAGGCAGCAGCACCAGAAGGGCTGGGGGGAATTTCAGCTTCTGAGGGTTGTCCTTGAGAAAGTCCCCTTGCCTGTCCCACTTACCCCAGGGGACAACCTGGCATCACACAGGCCCTCTCCAAGCTGCCATCGCTTTCCCCATGAGGCGCTTGGATGTCCCCAGTGTCCCTTGCTCAGCTGGTTGGGGACGACCTGCCTTTGTGTCCCCCGCAGTGGTGCTGCTGAGCATCCTGAAACACAGCATCACCCTGATCCCAGGCTTGTGCCACCCCACAGTCCTGGCTCTCCCAGTATGGGACTGGGACGGGCACTGTGGGTGGTGAAGCAAAGCAATGCCTCCATCTGCTGGAGGAATGGGCTCTGAGTGGCTCCCAGCCTCTTCCCCCTGCGCCCCAAAACCACCGTACCCAGCAGGGATTTGAGGATGCTCCTGGGGTGCATCCAGCACAGTGGTGGCCCTGTTTGGAAACTGTCCTTTGGTTCTGCAGCTGGCCAGGGCAGGAGAACAAAATTGGGATTTTTCAGTCATTTTCTGCATGGAAAATGTTAACAAGAAAAAGGCATATCCCCAGAGGGCATGGCAGCTTCAGGATTGGGTTTGTTGCCCCCACAAATGCCAATGAGGACATGAGTGGGACCTGCACTAGCTCTAGGTGTAACGGGACCGGTGCTGCTGAGCAACTGGATCTGAGTGCAGACCAAAGAAACCAGAGCAGTAGAGAGTGCACTAAGAACAATGACCAAGAAAAGGCCAAAAATAAAGGCAATTAGGGAAAAAAAGAAAATAAAAAGCAATTTTCCAGCAGGTGCATTTAGAGATCTTATCCCCCGCCGGGATGAGAAACCAATTTCCTTATAAATTAGAAAGACTTCAGCTAAGTGGAGGTTCCCCACCTCAGCCCTATAGATCCCCCACTGCAATGTGTGGGTGAGCAATTTCACTTTTGTTTCCATAATCCTGGTGAGCATCTCCCTGCTTCCCAATGGAAGTTAATTTGGAGGATGTCAAAGCTCCAACCTCCAAATTTTTGCCTGTGGTGGGGCTCCTCCTCCTTGCCTTGCCTTTTCCTTGCATTTTTCCTTCCCTTCCCTTCCCTTCCCTTCCCTTCCCTTCCCTTCCCTTCCCTTCCCTTCCCTTCCCTTCCCTT